GAACCGGAGAAATAACCACCAATCTTCCAATCATCAGACACAGTCACTCCAGCCAACAATAATATGCACAAAAAGTATTTGAGTAAAAAGTTGGAACTGTTGGAAACACTGTTTTAATGAAATAAGACTTAGTGAGGACAAGAAAAGACAAAATCTGACACGTTTGCTGTTTATATTGTTTATCAAATTGCTCAAGGACTAAAAAACACAAATGTGGAGGATAAACACAGATTCTTCCATTAGTGGTTGAATGATGACCAGAGGTAGAAGAAAACAGACAACTCATCATAATGAGCACTTCTGCGAGACAAACAGCAGTGGAAGAAGCATTCGGGTCAGTTACATTAAAGTAACAACAGCAGTGCAGTTAATCATACTTGCAAAAGCATTAAAATGTTTCCTGTCTGCAGGTCGGGGACTAGGTTTTAGATCCTAGGATCAGAACAGCGCTTCAATGACACAACATGAGGTGATTATACATAAACACACAGAGAAACTGACACTTTATACACAATCTATCGCTCTGACTATGTCTGATCATGCAATAAACGTGTCTTTTTCGATTATACATGTACAAATTATCACAATGTTATATTTTAATGTATTAACATGAAAGAAAATATTCAAAATTAAAGTCCATGGATGATGAATGTCTAACAGTGAAGGTAATTAGAGCATGTCTACTTTATGGGATAAAACACAAGGATAAAAAATAATGCCAGAGTAACACAGAAAATCCTTACTTTTCACAATTGCCCATACATTATGGCATTTCCAAGAAACTAAAATCTTCAGCTCTGATCTGTTAAGTCAAACTCAACTCATAAATAAGATCACCTGAGTAAAATCTGTAGACTCAAGCTGGTGCGCATGCGCACAGAGAATAATCTGATTATTGCTGATTAGAAATAAAAGACACAAAAAAGCCGCTCATGCGTCCTGTAGCTAGCAGTCCTCCTCGCTTTGCATCATGGACAGGAAGAAAGAGCACACGCTGGCCCAAGAGCTGCCGCAGTACTCTTCAGCCGTTTTGCCGTGGTCCGCGCGCCGCCTCATGCACGCTGTCGTTGCAGTGGAGGTGGAGTGAGATGATGGGGGCGGTGAGGGAGGCTGAGTCCCCGGGTCTCCGGACTGAGCGGAGACACGGGAGCTCGAGATGTCCAGCTTGAAGTGCGCACTTCGTGGCGCGCGCTTACACATCCCGGCCCTCACCAGCGCGCGCTCGTCCTTGCACACTTTACCTTGGAGCCGTTTAAGCGCGCGTGCCACCTGCTTCCAAAAGTTTAGGGGCTCGGACAGGTAACCCGGGCAACCCCGGGGTTTGGCGTTGTATTCACAGCGCAGGTCGGCGATCCCGCCTGTGACGCGCGCCTCCGGGTTCTCGCATTTGACCAGTAGCTGGACCGCGTCCCTGACTTCGCTGGCGACCCACGTGCACTGCATCCTTTCCTTTGTGGAGAACTTTCCCCGGCCACCCGCTACACCCACCTTGGACACGGCTGTGTCCGATTTTCGGGCACCGCAGGACAGAGAGACCAGCTGTCCGAGGAAAGCCAGCAGCAGCCAGGGAGCTGAAGCCTTTAGTAGCAGCATGATGTGTTTCAGCAGAGTAACTTTCCACCTGAAAGCAAATATATGTCTATAAATGGTGACACTCAAAAAAAGTGCAGCTGAAATGTCTCAACACCGAGGTGCTGTTCCTAACTTACCGACAATGGCTAGTGTTGCCGTGCGTAAAACTTCTTCTTGTGCTGCTACTGGCGTGCCACATGGCTTTCATACATAGGTACTATCACGCCCACTGCTTCCGTCCAGCACACGCACGCCCCCCCCCCCCCCCCCCCCCCACACACACACACACACAGAGAGAGAGAGAGAGAGAGCACTATAGAAATCTAAAAAAGAGAAAATGTGGCAGCAGTTCCTTATCAGATTATGTTTTGCTATGACATGCCCAAAACGGATTTTTCCACCTCTTACAGTGAGTAGAAGTGAAGATGATCAGTGGGTGATGTGTCAGCATGTCAGTACACTTCTTGGTTGATCCTAAAGAGCCACCATGAGCCTGATTACCATTACAACTCCAACCCTCTGCTGTCTTCAGGAGATATGTCCCCAGATTATGTTCGCAGGTTTTGTGTTTCTTCTTCTTTTTTCCCCTGTTTTTATAAAAAGATTCTTGATCATCTAATAATAACCAAGATTAAAAAGAGGACAATAAAAATTAAACATGAGGACAATCCATTCTTATGAAAAAAGACTGTATTCTTTGGATCATAACTTCAATTTTCCATGTTAAACTCAAAATACCATTAGGGATTATAAAGCTGCTGATCATAGTTCCCTATAGAACCAAATATCCATCTTCCCTGGAGTTGGTGGAGATCAAACACAGAACTAACGGAGTCTTACAGAGAGACCAGAGGCACAAAGTTGCTGTTCTGGATTTTAAATAAGCAAAAGTCTGGTATGAGTTCTCTTGTGATGCACACGTATGTGTCTAATCCAGACCAATGTTTTATGGTCTTTTTTATTTTATTTTACTGCATATATTCTGATTTCCCATCATAGGAAAAGATTGTTTTACCTACACAAGTGTAAAATTACATAACTCCATGTTACTTGTATCTAGTAACTGACCACTCCTCATAGCTCACACGTGAATTGTTCCCATTTCTTTAGTCGAATCTGTAAAAGAAATACCAGGTAACAGTTTGACAGGCAAAAAATTGTGTTTTTGCACCAACAAGGTGATTCCCAAAGAACTATTAGCTGAAAATGTGGCACAAGGTGTGCAGTGAGTCCTTAAAAATATGGGGAAACTGGATAAGAGGAAAGAAGAATCAACAGGCTCAAAAGCAACTGTCCACTGCAGATGAACAGTATCTGAAAGTCACATCCTTAAGAAATGTTGTGCAGTGTCCTCCAAGAGGTTGTACCTTTTCCCCCTTTTTTTATAATATAGAGAAGTAAAGGAGGACTCAAGAGTTTTGCACAATACTGTAAATTGTAAATCATTTAAGGTGAGTGGACTGAGATCTGAAGTTTAATAATCAAATTAAGGCAGTGGTAAAATCTAGCTTCTTTCAGCTCAGGCAGCTGGCAAAAATAAAGTCAATTCTTTCACGACAGCACTTTGAGACAGTGATCCACGCCTTTGTTAGCACTCGGCTGGATTACTGTAATGCACTTTATATTGGGGTCAGCGCATCATATATTACTCATCTACAGAGGGTGCAAAATGCTGCAGCTCATCTTTTAACTGGCACTCGAAAGTTTGAGCACATTTCCCCTATTTTAGCTTCACGTCACTGGCTGCCCATTTCTATTAGGATTTATTTTAAAATTCTTTTATTTGCTTTTAAAGCTCTCCATGGCCTAGCCCCATCTTATCTCTCTGAGCTGCCACAGCCTTATACACCCACCCGTTCTCTCAGGTCAGCTGATCAGCTGCTCCTGAATGTACCAGGACTGGGCGTAAACTTAGAGGAGATCGTGCTTTTGCTGTAGCAGCTCCAAAACTGTGGAACGAGCTCCCTTTAGAGATTAGACAGGCCAGTTCTTTACCTGTTTTTAAGTCACTCTTGAAAACCCACCTCTTTACCCTGGCCTTTGACACCACGTGAGATGTTGGTTTTTATTTTTATTTTATTTTTTATTTTAGTCGTTTTTAGTTGATTCGATGCTGTTTTATCTTGTTTTTGTTTTTGTTTTAATATAGGGCTGTTTTAATTTTATGCATTATGTTTTTATTTATTTTTGCTGTTTTCTGTTATTCTATTGTTTTTAACTTATTTTCTGTACAGCACTTTGTTCCTGTGCTGGGTATTTGAAAGTGCCTTATAAATAAAATTGGATTAGATTGGTGAGGACTTGATTTAGAGAGCTATCGTATGCTTTCAGGAAATGATTGCAAGTCAGTGTAAAGTCCTTTAAAGTGATGCAAACTATGACTTTGTGCTTGTTTGTCTCCATGTTTGTTTTGGACACATTTCGGGAAAAATCTCACAGCGAGGACACTTCTGCAGCTCTACAACTTTTTGGTTGCTCCTCTTCACACCTTCATGTCACCACTAGAACAGGGCCCCAATCTGTTTTTGAGCTCCCAGCTCAGCAGCATCATCTTGTGTTCACCACAGGTTAAACAGCCTAAAAACAGATCACAAGTACAGTACTTTCTACTCCACGGTAGTTAAAGGCAAAGATTATACAGAAAGTAAAATGATGAACGATTGACTCCAGCAATAATAGTTGCAGGTTTTTATATTTATATTTGTGCTTCCAATTTCCTCTTTAAGGAAGATATATCTGCACACATTCCAGTGTTGTAATTATATTAAATCAGGCCTATAATAAACTATAGAGTTTGTTTTAGTCTTATATTAATACCTGAAACAAATTCTATAGTTTTCTTATGGTCAGAGAGCACAACACGGAGAACACAGCTCTCACTTTGATTTGGCTCGTTGTCATTCTCACTTTTTTTTTGCTTAGCTTACTTAGCTTACAACACATTTAAATTTCAAAGACTTTTTCCTATAGAACTTATAGTAAATGATAGAAATTTGCAATATCACACAGGACTTCTACTTCCTCTTTTTTGCTTATTCCGTCTTTGGGACTGAAAAAAAATCAAAGTGCTAAATGTGACGTAACTCTCCCGTCTTTATCAGATTGTGTGTGTGTTTCACGGCCACCACATCCATTTCCACTCATCTTCGGCATGCGCACAGACCCCCTCTGTTCCTGCACACAGCAGCTCTCAGGACTCAATTCATCAGCTCATACAAAGACGTTTTTAGCTCTGCTCAGACACCTCCTGCACCTCATGGGTTCTTTCAGACTTCGTGTCGCACGGTAGCAGCTTCCCCAGCTGGACAGCAGTCGTGGTGCTCCAACCGAAGGGTGGAAAGAAACAAGATCTCCTTTTAATAAACGAGCGTGAAAGCTCTCTGCTTTGTTTCAGCTCAGTAGAGGAAGAAACAGAGGGACACAGAAAAGAGGAGGGCCACCACTCAGATTTTATTCTCTTCTGCAATTAAAGCTGGAGGGAATTTTCCATCATATACAAACAGAAACACATGCCTGCTATATTTTCTCCTTTGTCTTGCTGTCATTTTGACACATTCAAAAAAAAAAAAAGACACTACAGGAAAGAAATCATCTGCTAATTGCACACAGGTGTAGGTCAAGGGTTTTGGTCTCAGTCTGTAGGGTGCTGTAACGCGAGGAGTTCGGAGTTCGATCAAATGACTCCAGGAGCTTCCACACAGAGGTCAAAGATGGAAGTGCGGATGGGGCACTCCAACTGAAATAAAAACAAAAAAGCACTCAGGAACATATTGTACTAGCATTTTCAAACTTAAATGACAAAGAAAAGTCACATTTTCACATTAAAAATGTAAGTTTATAAGCGTGTTCATTGCTAAGATCTCTCCCTCTCCGCCCTTTCTTTTCCTTCATTCGTCACTCACCTGTGGCTGCGGTATCGTCTCAGTTTTGGAACCAGTTGATGACGTAGGTGCAGATGCCTTGGAAGCTCTTCCAGCAGTAATCGGATGCAAGACGGGAAGCTGTGGATTCAGGCAGCTCCGTCGGGTGATAACTGGTTTTCTCAGGCTTAGGAGTAGTCTTCCTGCTCTGACGCCCCTTGCCTGGCTGCTTATTGGGCTTCACAGGTTTAGGAGAAGTAACAGGCTTGGTCTGACCTGGCAGTGCTGGTTTACGTGGTTCCTGAGCGGGCTTAGAGGGCTTCAAGTTGGCTGTTTTGGGCCAGGAGGCCAGCAAGGTCATCTGAGTCTCATCTGGGTATTTCTTGCACATGTGCGGGCGGTAGATTTTAGTTCCCTGGCAGGCGTGGCTCAGTTTCCTCAACTCCCACATCATCTGTGTGAAGTAGTGGCGAGGGTTCTGGTTGTAGGCCCGGCACAGGGTGGGTTTTCCCTGGAAGTCGCAGTAGTAAGAGCGTCCTGGGGTTTGGCCCTTGCAGGAGACACGAAGGCGGGTGTAGTTCTCTGGTGCAGACACCACCATGGTGCAGGAGTCTTTGGTCTTGGTGCTGAATCTGATGGGTTCATCCCAGATGCTGCGCTGCTGCTGCTTGTCATTGTCGCTGCTGTTGTCGGTTTGAGCATTTGAAACACAAACAGCTGCTGCCGAAACCAGCAGCAACAGTCTCAACCCAGCTCTCATGGTGTTCAGCGTGGACTGATGGACGGGCGAGGGCTCAGGGGTGATGTGTCCGCAAAGAAAGTTAAGGTGTGGAAGGACGGAAAGCATGCAACTGGGAATTTATAAAGCTGAAGCTCACAAAGAAGGCATTATTCAGTTAAGCTGAAAAGTTTTAACCCCTCCCTTATGCTACAGACACACACAGAGCAACCACAAGGTTCGTGTGGTATGCTAAAGGAGTAACGTATGGAAGGAAAGGGTGAACATAAACTTAGAGATGAAGACAGGAAAAGGAGGGGGGTTGGCTTGTGGGAGCCGAGGGAGAATTAAGAGGTCTGAAGAACACGCATGAGGCCAAATAGCTGCAAGTCATTATGCAGTGTCACATAAGAGGTTCATTGACCATTGATCAGGAGGGGAGAGCAGTGAGGCTCCAGAGCCACACTGCAGGCTCAGGTTACTTGGTGGAGATTTAAGAGTTGATATGTGACTCAGTAAAACAACAAATCTTTAGATGTTTGATGACTTTTGTTGCAGAATTAATTGAAATGGACTTCTAGGATGTCTCTCAAAGTTTCCAAAGATGGTAAATTATGTTTTACTTGCAGTACATATCTTACACTACAGGAGTGTTTTTGGTTGCACCTGGAGAAAATGTTTTATCCTGATAGTTTGAGAGGGTCATGACTGCAAATCTCACATCCGGGGGCACCTCTAGAGTCTGCGGGCGGAGGTAGAGCAGGTCATCTGCTAAGTGGAAGGTCAGCGGTTTGATCCCTGTGGCTCTTCCAGTTAGAGCCGGGAATCTATCTAAAGATAGTGAACTCAAGAAACAGCAGTCCATTTATCATTTACCACATGCACACAGCGACTCTGTTGGCAGCTCTTGCATACATGAGCTGTTAATGTTGTGAGCTGTTTGGATTGAGCGGGCATGGCGTAGGTCTACTGCCTGGTAGTTTAAATTTAAATACCCCCCTTCCCCCCTACTGCATAAGCACTCCCATTCCTTGGGCACCACCAGTCTGGAGAGCCTGAGTTCAAAGTCAGACCAGACTGAAAATTTCCGCATTAGCTAGCGGGTTTGTTTGCTGAGTGAAAGAGTGTGTAAGTGCACGCACAGCCTCAGTGCATTCTGGGAGTTTTTATTTTTATGGCGGTTAGCCTAATGAAGCGGGAAAAGCTCAGCTGGAAGAAACGCCGAGGATGTGTGTGTGTGGGCTGTCTGCACCATGTTTTCCTATATTTAGTTCTCTTCTCATACGGTGCAACAGCATCACACCACCTCTAACCAGAGATGGGCAGTAACGCGTTACTTCTGATTACTTTTTTCAGGTAACGAGTAAAGTAAGGGATTACTATTGCAAAAACGGTAATTAGATTACCGTTACTTTCCCGTAGGAACGCTGCGTTACTGCGTTACTAAAACAGTGATTTTTTGCGAGAATGTCTCACGACAGTGACGTAAGCGAGTGCGACGTTAGTGACAACAGCTGTGTGCAGATCAACAATGGATCATATATGGAGTGCAGGAGAGAGTATGAGCGTGCAGCGTTTAAAGCGTGGAAGTACTGACCTTACTTTGAGTTTGATTCCATAAAAAGTGACAAAAACATTAGCGTCCATCGTGCGTGGGAAGAAAACTTCTTTTTACAGCGAAAAAAACCCCTAAACTTCCAAGCAAGCACCGAGTGCGCAACGACGTAATGGGAAACTCACAGAGAAACTCGCGGATTCTTCAACTGACCGCTGCGGCACACCTGCACCAGGGTAAACCTCCGCCTATGCCAGTCCTGCTTTACAGGTGAAAATAGAGCAACAGGGCCGCTGAGTCTTTGATGTTATTTATTTTCTGCTGTGTTTTACTTGCATCTATTTGAAAGAGTGAGTGTAAACACAAAAAAAATTATTTTATGTGCTGGAATGTGCACAAAATAAGTTTAAATGTTAAACAAATTTCTTCCAGTCAATGTTGCATATAATTAAATTTTTGCTTGATGCATAAAGTTAAAAGATTAAAACTAATAAAACAAGTTTTAAAAAGAGACTTTTCTATTTGATTACATTTTGTATGATGGATTATGCAGAAAAAATAGAATTGGGCTGAAAGATCTATCGCTTTATCACCTATTCAGGTTGTAAATCGTGTTTTTAAAAAGTAACTAAGTAACTAAGTAATTAATTACTTTTGAAAATAAGTAATCAGTAACGTAACAGGATTACTTTTTTGGGGAAGTAATCGGTAATTAGTTACTGATTACTTTTTTCAAGTAACTTGACCAATACTGCCTCTAACACCACCAGCACCATCATCACTTCCTGTGTCTACCTCCAGCTGCTGTGTGCGCATTGCAGTTATATTTTTGTATTTTCTAATTAGCTTTTATTTATTTTTTTTACTTGTTTTAATTCAGTTTAGTTTTCAGGATGGATTTTCTAATTTTCAGTTTAGTTTCCATCTTTTTAATTATTATGGAGCACATGTCAGAGGCCAATTTTCAGAAAATCAGGACAGATGTAATAAGAAAAAACACTTTTAAAAAAGTTCATAGTACCATTTCAGTTCATTTTATTTTAGCTAAAATATTTTGTCATCTAGTTAACTATAATTCATCTCTGCATGTGCCACATGAGCATCACGTGTCTTCCTGAGCACGTATCAAACTCCTTTTAAGTCATTTTTTAAAGGTTTTGCACACAATAAAACATTTCCTTTATATTTAGAAACGTGTGATTTATGAACCATGTTTATGCAATAAAAAACAGACGACACTGGATTTGAGTTTTTATTTAGAGATTTGCATCCTCACCACAAGCCCAGTTGTGTTTTTCAGACCTTTAATATTGCAGAGGCTTCTGGGAATTTTATTTGACAACACAAGCAACAGGCCCTCATTAACAGTCTGGTGAAACATGATATTTTGTGTGTCATCGCTCCTTAAATCCTGTTAAAACAGCGCTTACCAAACTTTTGAAGCTGATCAAACAAGTTGACAGCCTACATACAGTTTTTATGAACAAACAACAACATAAACAGGAACTTAATTAAATTTAGTTAAATAAAAGCTGATTCAATAGAATAAGCACATGTGTGTATTTAATAGCTTGTAACACTTTGTAGTAAACTGCGCAGTCTTCATGTTTCAAGGATGTACTGAGCCGAGCAGAGCTGCCGCTTTGCTGCTTAAATGAATAATTCAATACCTTTGGTCTCTTTGGTCAAAAACATAGCTGCACAGCTGTTTGGTAGATTCCCATGAGAGATGTGATCTGTGTCAGTTCTGAAAGAAAGCGAGTAGCTACTTTTTTTTTTTTCAAATTGTCAAACCATTCCTTAAATAAACACCTGCTAAGTGAAACCTGTTTGATGCAAATTATGTAAGCTATATTACAAATATTCACAGAGAAAAAGAAAGCTATTACTACAAACCTACTTACATGTTATAAAACAAAGTTTAACAAAAAATATATAAAACTTTCAAAAGACTTGAAAGTGTAAAAACTGTACACTTGTGTTGCCTTGTTTAAAACTGATTATGTAAGTACAAATTGATTCTCTATGCAGCTAAATATGCAGCTGTTGGTGTACATAATAAAATGGTAAAGGGGTCGAGAAAACACTTCATAGGATTTTGCTGGCATTAGTGGTTTTGTCAAATGGCCTGAAGGACTACTGAAAGACGCCTTCATCCCAGAGTTCACGATTGTTCTTCCCTTTTGTCCTTGGAAGTGTTAAAAGATCTGAATCGGAAGCCTAAACAGCCCAGTGATCCTGGAAACGAAGAAAGCTTTTAGAAAAATAAAGTGCACTAAGAGTCAGGTATGAAATATGTGAAGAGATACAGATGAGCGCTTACCACAAAGGGAAGATCAGTTCCAGTTCTCCTGTCCACTGTGGAGGGAAAAGAAAAGGTAATGTTTTATGTTAATGACTGGAACATCAGTCAAATCATCAGGAAGAGCATCTGGAGCTGTTGCGACACCTTGTGACTGTTACTGTCATTGCTATTATTATAAGTTGCAGGGTGAGGGTGATGGTTTTTTTTTAAAACCACATAGTAGATGATTATAAAAAGCAAATGATTTCCTGTGGTCCACACAATGGGAATCACTTCCACAAATCTTTGAAGATTGGAGGGTAAACATGTACACAGGTATACAGGAATTGTATTCATATTTCTATAGCTGAAATATGTGAGAGTTACACACAGAATAATATTTATTAATTTATTTTCCTGTGAGGTTTTCACCTGCACACATTCAAAGCCAGGACTTGTGTTTTGGGGCCTTTACTGTTATTTCACAACTGGTGGGGAAAACACGAGTTTTCCAACATTTTTTTAGTGTTTGAAAATAGTTTTGGGTGCTCTGTTATTCAGAAGGAAACACAAATCAATCATGCAGAGCTACGTGCGTTCGTGACTCCTTCCAGGATTAAACCAGGGACCTTTCAGGAATCTAAAAAATGATTTTCTTGTTTTTTTGTTTTTCCAAATAATAGATTGATTCATTTTTGGTCTTAACACAAGAAAAATGTTTCAGAAAAATAGTGTAGCATTAGGTTTCTTCTGTTTTGTCCTGTTGAGGCTCATTTTCCTTTAACTGGAGAACACAACAGCGCTTCAAACACAAAAGCAAAAGATTTTTCTCTCTTCCTGTGCAGCTTTGACTGAACACTGCATATATCCAAGGATGAAAACTGATCTAATTGAGGCACAATCTGGATGCCTGACACGTGGCAGCATCATGTGGATATAAGCAGTTACCTCCATCACAGAAAACTTCATTTCAGTGGGCTCTGATGTTTGAATGCAGTGATGGATGAAGAAGATAAGAGGGAAGTCAGGAAAAAGAAGGATGTTTTTGTCAAAATGAAATCAGCGTAGTGATGGTGGGATGCTGGATGGTCTTACATGGCTGGTTGTTAGCGTAGCTGTAAGGGTTAGTGGAGTCATCAGTGATCGTCAATACCTCATCAGCAGGGAGAGAGTTCCAGTGGGTCACCAGACTGAGTAGCTCGGGGGAGCAGAGGCCCGAGGGAACCGAGTCAGAGTGTCAGAATAGGGAGAGCTGAATGCACACACACACACACACACACACACACACACACACACACACACACACACACACACACACACACACACACACACACACACACACACACAGGGAATTCTTTATATCTCTATATGTGGTAAATAAAAATTTACGCTGACAGGACTCCAAATATCCCTCCACCAATTAACACTCCAGCATGCAAGTCAGATTTAGCTCCACGCGGCTCGTACCTGATGGCAAGGTTTCCATGGATATCACACACCTGTTCACCGTGATTTCCTGTATTAGCCATACTGCAAGAGAAGAACGAGGGGAGGGGCAGATGAAAAAGGGGAAGACTCCTGTGAAAGTGACAGGGATGGAGTGATCCACAGAGAGCGACGCTCGCATCGGAAAGAAAGAGAGCGCGAGCAGTGATGGGAAAGTCCATGTTAAGAGCTAAAATGCCGAGCTCGTGATTTCAGAAGAAAGAGTGAAAAAGCTCAAGAGATTCGAAGCTGGACAGTCCCGTTCCAAAAAGCGAGTAAGTGTGTGGGAGAAGATGAGAAAGTGCATGAATTATCGATGTTAAAGTGCAACAAGCCATGGGTAAGAGGAGCTGGAGTGAGCGGATACAACACAAGGAGAAAATACGAGGAGAATCCGTGTCCGTGAAAAGGAATAATGGACAGAGAAAAGGAAAGAAAATTATTAATGAATTTGGCTTTGATTTACATCAGAAAAAAACCCAGGAGGATAACGAGGAAGGTTTGGACTCACTCTTCAAAGACGTCCTCTGTGTCCATCCTTCTGTAATACTTGGCCAGTTTGACAGAGAAGATGATGCTGGGGATGAGCAGGATGCAGCAGCTGCCGAGACCAAACCAGAATGTGTTCTGGAAAATAAAAGTACCAGTAATCACATTTTATGCGATTTCATTCATTGCTGTTACTTTTCACTAAACACTGAACTCTTAGTGCTAAAACACTGTCAAAAAGATTTCAAATCTTGATATTAATGTGGGTATAATAAGAACTCATATTTGGCACAATGGCTGTACCCGTTTCTCTGTACCTGACAAAAGTTGCAGAGACTGAAACATTGTGTGGAGGTTATAATATATTTCTACATAACAACAAGACAACGAAACCACTATTTTATTGATTATTATCATTTATGGTCCACCTGCTTCATATTATTCTAACATTATTGTAACACAATACAGTCCTGTGAAAAACTAAGTACACCCTTTCAGTCCATAACTTGTAGAACCATCTTCAGCATCAATAACTTGATACTTTTCCTGTATGAAATTTATTGGGAATTTTGGCCCGATAACACAGGACTCTGTGTGAGAAGTTTGAGTCCAGCTTTATCTGTCACACAGATGGAGTGGAAGTGGAAGATGCCCAGTTCCTGTGGCTCCAAAACAAACCCAATTCATCATCCATCCTCCGCCATTATGAGGTGTTTGTGCTGCTGTGTTTGGTTTTCATCAAATGTGGTGCTGTGCATTAAATACTTCACTTTGGTCTCTGGTGTCCAGAGGACATTGTTCCAGAAGTCTTGTGGTTTGTTCAGATGTTACTTTGCAAACCTCATCGTGCTGCCATGATCATTTTAGAGGTAAGAGGTTTTGTCCTGCAACCCTTCCTAAAGAAGTCACACTTACTCAGTCTTTTTCTAATCTGAATGTCATGAACTGAGGCCTTTAGAGTCTGAGATGTAGCTCTTGGATTACTTTCAGTCCTTCTGAGCCTGACTTGAGTGTGAGTTTGCTGGGACATCCATTCCTGAGAGATTGCGGCATTGTGTTAACACACATCTGGATATTCAGATGTGTGTTAACACAACACCTGTAACATCCAGACCAACAAACTACCAAAATGTCCGCCTTTGTAATGATCTTCAGACTTGCTGTGGATCAGCGAATCAAGTGATTAACAGTGAGTAGCAGCATCTGGCTGCAACTGACGACCTTAATTCCTATTGAAGAAGTAAGGGTGTATTTAATTTTTTTAGGGCTGTAGAGAGTCCCATAAAAACATGTTTACCTTAGAAATGTACTGATGTACAAGTTTAAAGTAGACTAAAAGAGTAATTTGCAAATGCTTGAGCTAAGGTACTTGTTAATATGCAACAACTCTTAAATCAGGGGACTTTTTATTTGTAATCATCACTGAATGAAATGTCAGGACTGTGACTTTTAAAGACATAATAACATCATGGACCAATGAATTAATAATAAATATACTTGTTGTAGTACTGCTAATGTCACACATTTATGCAGCTGCATTTCACGAACAGAAGCCTAAAATATGTGTGCACACAGACACACACACATGCACACACAAAGCACATCTAAATGTACAGTAGCTGCAGGCAGTGCAAAAATTAAAATCCTGTTTATATTGCTCACAGTCTTTGGCCTGTTTGGGCTCATTAAACTCTCAGGAAGTCGCATGCTTGATATACAGCAAGTATAAAAACATAAACCTTTATAACTCCTCAGGGTCAGGAGTGAAAACACGGAAGAATCCATGTGTGTGTGTAAATCCCCGGCCCAGACACAAAACAGGCTTTATTTAATCTCAGTGTTTGTGAACAACACACCGTTCTCCTCCTAAAACTCTGAGCTCCCCAAACAGTTCACATAAAACCACAGATATATTTTTAGTTTACATCCAGGTACATGAAGGTACATGCACTGTGCAAACAGCTGGGAAAACACACATCCACACATACAGGTAACCACAATGACATCTTACCAGTGAGTCGATTATGAAGCTGCATCCTACTATTTCCATACTGTCCACAATGTTGCTGATGGGTTTACACTGGGCCACCTCTGTAGTTAGCTGTAGGATAAAAACACACATGCTGGCTGATCTCTCTTCAGAATCCACATTTATTCATTAACTTCAAGTTAAATCAGCAGTTCTTAAACCATACTAAAACTTAAACACAAACTAAATTAAACACTGACTCAGATAATCAGAAGAGGCAGAGGAAGGATTTACTATACTGCAAATTTTGTACAAAGACACTGAAGAAAACAATAGAGAAAATGGCAGAGTACTCACAGAGTTTTTAACCCATTCTGTGTACTGTTTGAAGTATCCCACCAAGCCCTGCACATACGCCTTTGTTTCCTACAACCAAAAAAATGAAAAACACTCATGAGTACTCACTATGATCACGATTGAGATTTCAAGCTCTGGAGTTCATTTCCCTGTTGGATCAAGATTAGCTCTTTATACACTTTTCTTTAAAATGTAACCTGATTTGAGCACTACGATAATGACGTTCTTGGCCAGTGAATCAAGCTTGGATTGCAAACACAAAAAATATTTATAATAATGTAATCAGTCTGCTTACAATGGGACTCTAATAAGCCACAGAAAAACAAGTCGTCTTTATTCTGAGGCAACACATTTGCTACCAGAGAACAAACTCACAACACCAGTCGCCTCAGAGCCCTTACGATTATAAAGCAAAGACCCTACAATAATAGAGGGAATATTGCAACAATCATACAACCCCTCTATGAGCAAGCATTTGGCAACAGTGGGAAGTAAAAACTCCCTTTTAACAGGAAGAAATCTCCAGCAGAATCAGAGAGGGGGATGAGGGGAAAGAAAAGAGAGAAAAAGGAGACCATAAGGACACAAAGACAAAACGCACACTTTGGGACAATATGATGTGAGTGTTGGTGTAAAAACCCCTGAGAGAAGACAGGAGTGGAGCACAAATGCCCAGTGCATCATGGGAAGTTTGCAGCCTGTTGTGGCATGATTAAAGAGCTTTTTGCTGTGTGTTCAACATTTATCTTTTGATGCTCCATGTCACCATGTTATGTTGAAGCCTTGATCGATGTACCTGCTTCACCACGTGGGAGGCATTATGAGCGATGAGGTACTCTGCTGCATCAATGGCACTCAGGACATTTGTTACTTTGACCTCAGAGAGAAATAAAAGCAAAAGAAATTAGTTCACGAAACGTGGATAGGTTGCTAAGGAAATAATTGTTTACACTGCTATCTGTGGTCTATAACAACAGTTTTCGTATTTACTGGCAGGTCGTTGGATGTCTTCTGTAGCTGTTTGACACTCTGGTGCAGCGTACTCTGTGTGAGAAGATTAAAGCACAAGCAGTCGCACGGTGAAACAGACACACGCACAACTCCCTCCTTATTTACAGATACACATCCATCACATCACGCCACCGCTGTCACAACATGAAGGACGTTGCTAAGACAACACACACAAAAAAAGAAAATAAATCACTGTCACAGTGCTGCACATCGACAGCAGCTTACCCGTGCTCTGACATATTTCTGTCACCACATTATGAAAGAAAAGAACAAAAAGAAGGAACACTGAGGAACAGAGCAAAAAACAGACCATGTAGATGTGTTTTGTCCCTGAAGACATTCTCTGTTCATTAAGATTACGTAATTACCACTATTTCCCTATTAAATAATGGTAAAAAAAAAAGAAAAAAGCTTAGGTGTAATGCTACATGTTTGCCTCATTCAGTATGTGCAGATGTGCAAATCCTCCCTGGGCCACTTGCCACCAGCTTTCCTGTGCTAGGCCAACTCACAGGTTCTCCTTCTATGTGGGGTGAGACGCTGCTGAAATACGTGCTGTTGTTTTTTACATGAGAGTCACTGCTTCATACTAACTCAAATACTATTATCCTCACCTCCTCAACCCTGTAGGTATCTGTTTTAGTAACAGAAACAGCATTTGGCTCAACCACTGACAGTTTGTTTCATTAATGGGGTCAAAATGATTTTCATTTTACCCAAAAATGGGTAAAAAATTTACGTTTTTTGTTGTGATGCCTGAAATAAAAAAGCCTCAATTCAAAATCCTCTGTTCATCTAGGACACTGCTAAAGAAAAATAAACAGGTGATCTTCATCGTCTTGGTAGCTGAATATATAAAATAAGCTATGAGAAATAAGTGTTGAACTGTTAATAGTGCTGTTTGTATTTGTGCTGTGGTTAGTTGATTACCATTGCTTGCTCCAGTGGCACCACCTGTTCTCGGTGAATGAATCTAATGCTGCTGGCATGGCCTCTCAGTGCGTTCTCCAGAGCACCACGTGGCTGTAAACAAACACAGTTTTAAGGATACAATATGTTATTACAGATGTATATTGTTTAGGTTCCCATGAAAATGTAGAATAGATTTTGAGTCTTTAACGTAACTAAAAACAAATATTTTGTCATTGTTTTATTATAAGTTTCACTACAAGGGCACATGCAAACATCTCCCTGTGTAACAAGCTCCAGAACCCAAACACGTGGCATAAATGTGTGCAACGTGAACATGAACCCTAAGTTCCTTCAACATGGGTGTCTGACTATATGTTTAGAATTGCCGGTCTAACACATATATATGACATTCCTGCTGTCAAGTATTAAGTCAAGTACTGCCAGAGATGTGCCATCCTTCATGAAGATGAAATTAAAAAATCCACTTTTAATCAGATCATTTAGACAGATGTGAAGATTCACTTTAGGTCTGTGGTGAGAACCTGACTAATTCAGCAGCTCAAGTGTTCATAATTTTAACCAACTGTGACATCGTGGCTAATAGTTTTTCACCCGTTTTGCATCCACAAGAGAGCAATAGTGGGACCTCTGACTGCCACTGCTCTACAAAAGGCTGTAACCGTGCATGCATACAATATGTTGATGCTGATCTACAACACATGTGCAGACATTAATGACTCACCAGCTGGTCAGCCTGACCCTCCAGGTCGCTACAGAAGGACAGCAGATCTATTAGAGTGACTCCTTTATTTACCTAAAAACCAGGAATTTACACATGAAAGATGGTTAGTATAAAAGGTTTTAGTTAAGGTTTGTTTGGGGGTGGGGGTATTTTTATTAGGGATAGCTTTTAAAGTTGCATAATCACCGTTTCAAATTAAATGCATTTTATTTATGCATATTAACAAAACTGGAAGATGTTATGATTGCATTCAAAATATTTTACATTAAACAAGAAAAATAAAATTAGCAGAATAATGGAAATAATTTTTACTGAGTGTATGCGCATGTAAGCGGAGTGAAGGGCTTTTTGTGCACAGGATATAAAGGAAGTAAACGGTGTGCATCGTGCCATTCAACATAAACACAACCACAGATGCACACAGCTCACCTCAGTGAGATAAACCTGAAAGTCAATCTGTCCAATTCCAGAGTTGGCAAAGTTGATGAGGTTGTCTCTGCCAGCCTGCTCCAGCAGCGTGATGCCCTGCAGGTCCACCTGCACACTATCAAACACTTTGGCCAGGTCCCTGTTGTACTGTTGTGAAACACATGTGTAGAGTCAAACTACCATTCACCTTCTGCCATCAATGCACCTGTAATGGTGACATACAGTAACATAGCTCTTACCACTGTTCTGTTGAGGAAGGAGTTAATGTTGAACATGGTCTCCAGCTGCAGAGCGTGATACAGACCGTTGTTGTCATAGCACTCCCTGTGAGACAAAACCATGATCATCACAAACACAGTGCTGTGATGTTTTCTGCTTAACTACAGGTAATGAGTTTCTTACAAAAACAACTAGAAAAATGGATTCATTACTTTTTCGTGATAACTTAAATGTTACCTGTACATGCCGCCTAGAGTTAAATCAATATTTGGATTCTGGAAAAGCATCCCAGGAAGGAAGTTCCTCTTTTCAGGATGGACCAGGAACGGCGTATCAATGATCTACAGACACACACACACAGTTTAAGAAAGCAGTGTTGGCCATTTTACGGCTCAGATAAAAGGTGAAAATAATAAAATCTCCAGCAGAATAAAAATAAAAGACAAAAGAGAGTTAACACCTTAAACAGTTGTCTGTTAGCCAGAGGTTCACATATCAGCTTTTCCACATTGCCCCCGACAACAAACAGGGTGGTAACGATGACCATCAGCACCCAGGCAAAGATAAACGAGAAGCCAACACCACTGCAAGAGTAAAAAACAGACTCTGAGAGACAAAAATAATATTTTTGCTGTTATTTCCCACCATATATCACAAGAGATAATCCCGTAAGAGTCCACTTTTGATAAAACCAGTATTAATGTGAAGAAACTCTCTGAACTTGAGACCTTTCTATAATTATTTCATGCATTTACTGTTAAATTTAATCTTATTTGAAGAACACTATTGTGAGTCTTCATTTTTTGTAAAGTAAACCTGTACTCAGTGCTTATAATGCTTCCTTTGTTATATGACTGTAAGCTAAATGGATCACAGCCACTTTTACAGTTTGAACTCCACCCTGAAAAAAAGATCCCTGAGTGATGCCTTCAGGCGAGTGAGTGTTGTGATGGAAACCTACGCCATCAGCAGGTTTCCCCCAGTGTTCGACAGGCAGCCGCGGGTGGTCGGGCTAGCTTGCTTGTCGTAGCCACAGTTACCACACAGCAGGCCGAGGATGTTAAAGGCCATCACCAAGACGACCATGCAGAGCACCGCCACGCAGGCGATCCACCTGAAGGTTAGACAGAGAGGTTTACCCACTTTAACCTAATTCATTGTAACCTAGAGTGAGATTATTTCTCACAAGCTGTTCAACTAGTTTGGTTCTTTTTATTTATTTATTTTTTAAAAGCAGTGAGAAGGACCGTGTGTTATAACTAGAGCTGAACCTTAACAGCCTTGTTTCTATCTATGACGTTTTAACATCCTCACATTTTCTTAATAGATTTTTAAAGAGAAACACACAAACCTGTAAAAATCCATCTGATCGATTTGGGGGTAATAGGACTCAATAGCTTTGTGTCTTTCATTTAGGAAAATGGTGAAATTTGCCAGAGAAGCTTCCACGGGGAACATCTTGGAGAAGCCGATGATCTCTGCACCGATCTTATCCAGCATCCCCTTTACTCCTACAAACACAATTGTAACAATAAATAAGTCAGACAGAAATAAACTGGAAGGCTGGGGGTTTTAAGGTGAAGTGAAAAAGGGATAATGTGTCTGACACAGAAGAGAAAAACTTACGAGGCAGAGCTGCAGTTTCATCATCCACAAGTATGCAGACAGAGATGAAAGAAGAACATGAAACACTTTATACTCACTCTTATCTCATTTACAAAACAGAGCTCTAGCTCACACACGCACGCACGCACACACACACGCACGCACGCACGCACGCACGCACGCACACACACACACACACACACACACACACACACACACGTGTACCTGCAACAATGTTTTTTGTTTGCTCTTTAACCAGTCTTGGCGTGTCGTTAAAGGATGCGTAACCCTGTAGATGAACAGAATAAGAGAAAAGAAAGATGACAGGTGAGACAAAAAGTTTTAGCATGGACAAGATGATGATGCTGAGTGAGAGACGGCCACTAACCTTTTGTACAATGTTGCTGAGATCTGTTTTCAGGACAGTATTGACATTGGCCAAGGCATGATTAACATCTGGGATCTGACAGACAGGAAAAAGAAGCAGAGTAAACCTGGAGATATTTCTCACGGTTAAAATGTTCCAGTATTAGATGGCATATTGCTTCTTATCACCTTGGAGAAGTCAGCATTGATTCCCAGCTGGGACAGTGTGGAGCGGATGGTGTTACAGGTATGTGACACAGCTCCGTTCGTGCAGGCGGGGTCGGACAGGGTGTTGGACAGAGAGGCGCGCTCTCCTGACAGGCTGGCCTGAAGCTTCCCCACCCCGTCCTGCAGCACCTCCAAGGACGAGCTGACGTTCTCCAGGGCCTCTTTGGTCTCCCGCATGGCTACAAACAACAAGCAATATGACACACAGTGAAACTACTTTTTCTTGAGACAACAGCATGCTGGGCTTTTTTACACCGACCACAGAGGCACAACCCACAGAGGAAAACTATAACAAAAAACAGTTTCCAACTTAACACAAAGGTTCAGAATAACCATCTGCTTCTAACACTTTTGCAGACACAGCTACAAACACTGCACCACTGAGTCCCACTCAGCTCACTTTACCTTTGATGGCACTCTCAACTTTTGCTTTAGACAAAAGAAAATGTGAGAGAATCATAGAGGGGAAAAAAGAAAGAAAAAGAAATGAAAATTAAATGGTGAGTACTTTTCCTTAAAGACTGTCTTTAGTATTAAACCCACAAGAGAAGTTGTGGCATTTAAATGGCATTAGCTGTAACCATAGCAACTACTTAAAAAACTCCTGATTTTATTAGAAACTTAAATTTGCTACAAAATTTAAAATTTTATGTGTATTACAGTACATCTTTTAAAAAGAACAACTGAGTTTTGTTTAAGAACTTGCACACTGGTTTGTGAGTCCGAGTTGTGTAATCTCAACGGGAGGTTTATACAGAGACGTTACCTCCTGCCATACGCAGGGCGGTGTCCAGCGAAGGAATCACTGATTTCTCCAGCTGAATGTGGATCCTACCCCCCAGCAAAGGGCCAATGTCTGTGAGGAAGCACAGAAAGGTCAGAAAGTTCAGCACAGTTATATAAAGTGAGAGATATCAGACAAACACTGTGTGCAAACATGCAGGGTCGAGCTTACTGTCGAGGTCTGACAGGACTTTGTTCTTGGCTGTGGTGTACTGGGCTGTCAGGTAATCGACTTGCTGCAGCAGGAGACACACAGTATTAATAGATATTAGTTATATTATATTATTGGCTTTTGTTTTTTCAAAAATAAACGGGTTATTGTGAGGACATACTGCAGGCGTGTTGTTAGCGAACGTCTTCAGGTCTCTCATGTTGGTGTTAATGAGCCGCCGAGTGCTTTTGACCTGTGAGCTGATGTTGTGGTTTGCGGCGAGAGCAATGAGAACACCCACACTGAAAAACACATGCAGGATCAATTAGGAGAAGAGCAGTGCAGTGACCACACTTTAACAGCAGAGAGCAGCACAGCTACATAACGGGGACTCCTGCATTATGAGTTTTAATTCTTGCTCACTGAAGATTCAACTCTGCCCTCCACAGTTAGTGATGTAAGAAAAACTGTACGGCTGAGTGTACAAGCTAAACATGCAAAGTGAAGCTAAGCATTAGGATTATGTGGTTAGAATTCACTGTGATTCACTGCAAAAACACCTTATTAGTTTTACAGTAGTGATATTTTAGACTTTCTGTAACAAACAAAAACAATGTAGAAACAGTAAAAAAACAAATCAACAAAAGCAACCAACTGGTTATATTGTTCTTTGGATGTGAGCATTCACATTTGTGCTGTGAAAGGACTCATTCAGATGGCGAGGCCTCTCATGGTCAGCCAAGTAATATCGGTAACACATAACTGTCCTCCACATTTAAATCAAATTTCAGTGGGCTTGCCTCTTCCACACAGCAGGTACTCCGCATGCTCTCTGCATATGAGCAAATAAAGTTATTGGACATTTTTTTTTACCCCACATAAAGGAAAGCATTTTTACACATGTGAAAAATTATACGTGTAAATATGTGGCGCCAACATTGACCTGCTGAGATCTGTTCATTATTACAAGGGTTGTTAACTTTTTGGTCAGACTGCTTTCAGGAGCATTTTTGTTCATATTTTAAGTAGTAACTAATTTTAACGAATAGTCTGGCATGACACCTGATAGTCTTTTAGCTTGTAGGTTGTAATCTATTTGAGAAAACAGATAACTTGTGTAACGTTTTGGATTCATATGCAGTGAAGAAAGCTATCCAAACCTACCTGGCACCATGTAATTTGACCCCTAAGCCTAATAACTGGTTGTGGCACCTTTGGCAGCAAGAGCTGCAATCAAGTGTTTGTGATAAATGGCAATGGGTCTTTCACATCACTGTGGAGGAATTTGGCCCACCCTTCTTTATTTAATTGTTTTGATTTGGTCACATCTGAGGGTTTTCAAGCATGAATGGCCTCTTATATGATTTTTGAGCCATTCAGAGGTGAGCTTGCTGGCAGGGATGGGAATCGAGAACCAGTTCTGTACAAGAACCGTTTCCCAGTAGTCAAATTCTTTGGAATTGTTAGTCTGTTTGCCTATCAATACCATTTACCGGTTTCTGCAGCAGTTCAATCAGCTAATTTCAGTTTGTGTGCCGGAGATGGAAGATAGTGGTACGGTCTACAGCCTGGATATAGTCATTACATTTAGTTTTACTACACAAAAGGACAAGAGCACGATGGTAAAGTGGAAACTGCATCCAGGTCAGAAAAAAAACGCATTATGCTGCCAACACAACTTCGGCTCCTTGCAAGCACCTGCACACACAGCATGCTAATGCTAAGCTAGCCAAGAACCCAGAGTGATGCTATAAAGCTGACTGAATGCTGACCTCAGCCCAGCAACCAGACCCTGAACTTCAACAGATAACAAAAGCAGTAATGAGCAATCAGGCTTGTAGATGCAGTTTCCATCTGTTTATTGACTGACATATGTCAATGACTTTGTTTTTCAGCTGTTTTTGAGTTTCTTTAGATCGTGGTATGATGTGTTGCTTTTTCAGATTTTTTAGTCTACTTCACTTTGTCAGGCAGATTCTGTTTATTTCTATTTAACCTCTATTTATGCAGGTAGTCCCCTTGAGAATCAATGTCACATTTACAAAAAGGACCTGTTTCTAACAAACATATTAAAATTACAACAAAATTTAAATTTTCTAATGTTTACACAGTTGTATCAAAAACAGGTGCTTTAAACAAGTGTTTAAATGATTTCATGATTCAGCAGGTCTGGCAATAATCATAGCTGGAAATGACTAATGAAATTATACTCCAATGTGATTCATTGGAGTTAATTCATGATTTAGAAAAGGGGCAATGATTTTTTTGCATAGGGCCAGGTAGGTTTGGATAGCCTTTTTCCTTAAAAATTGAAAGAATCATTTAAAATCTGCATTTTGTGTTTATTCTGGTTACTGTGATCATTTTTAATCATCAAAATGTCTTTGATGATCTGAAGTGTGGATGTGTGACAAATATGCAAAAATAACAAATCACCGCAGAAGGTGAAATCTTACAGGTACTTCGCAATACAGAAATCAAAGTAGAGGAGAACCAGTGTCATTAAAATCATCCTCATTTTGGAGTATAGCAGACTGATAATGATAAAAACTGTGAAGAAGAGGAATGACGACTCACATGATGAAGATGGTTGTAGCAACCAGCGAGGCGGTATAGAAACCTCTGTGACAGTCTGCATTTTTCCTCTGTCTCTGATGCATCTCCCCTCCACAGTTATCACAGCATCGACACATGCAGAAGCACATAGCTATGACGGGGATAAGGACCACAAACACGACGCCGAAGGTTGCACATATGAGAAATCCGGACTCGTACTGGATCCACTGCGGGAGGAGAGCATTCACCCAGTTATCAATCTGCTCTCTGCCCTTTACTTTTGACAGAGATATGCAGTGAAAGCTGTGTTGAGAGGAGTTTACCTGCAGCAACAAGACGACGTTTTCTGGCTGGAGCACCAAACCAGATGTGGAGGTGTGCAGAAATCACACAAGCATGAACAAAAAGAAGACATGCAAACCAGGTCAATGTGACAACAGAGGGATTAAAAAAAGGAGAATCCTCATTTCTAAATGAATAAAGTTTTTCATGATGTGACACAGTCACTTTGTGGTTCCTGCTGTGAAGTGATATTTTAATTTCATTAAAATTATCCAAACACATAAAACTAATAAACTTTAAAGTGAGACACAAAACATGTTTTTTTCATACACTGCTCAATTGTTTTGTGTAAGTATAAAATTAGATAGTGCTTCTTTTAAAGATTTAAATTAAATAAATTAAATTTAAATTATACTTCACAGTGACGTGTCATCTACTAGTAATTTGTGAGCAGTGTGCCCCCAATACAATTGCAAAAACCTGCAAGTACACAATTTAGAAACCCAATGGTCTAACGTCCATTCAAAATATGTTACTGTATCAGAAGAGCATGTGGGGGTTCTGTGGAGGGTAATTGGGGTGGCTACAGCTCGGGAGGTAGAGAAGGTCATCTGTTAATTGGAAGGTTGGTGGTTGGATCCCAGGCTGCTCTTGTCTGCATACCTCAGCATCCTTGGGCAAGATACTGAACCGTGATCCATTCATCATGGGAAAGTTATAAAGCACTTCAGTGTAAAAAGCAAGTGCTTGTAAGAATGAGGCATGTTTTACAAAGTGCTCTCAGTATTCAAGTAGAATAGAAAAGCACTATAAAAGAACCAGTTCATTACCATTTGCTAGTAATTTTAACACTTAACATACCTTTCTCCATTCCTCTATTTTGATTCCACCCATGTTTTGCTGAATGACTTTGACAATGAGATCTGCAAAAAAAAAAAAAGAACACACACATACAGACGAGTGCTTACATACAGAAAAACTGCCGCACAGAGTAGATGCTGTGTTTCAGTGATTTACAGGCAGGTACGTGATGACAAGCAAAGTTGGAGAGGGTAAAAAAGAATCCATTTATGTGCTCACAAGCAGACAACGCGGATTACGTGGGATCGTTTTTTAATTTCCGAGGAGAGGACGGCACTGAGACCGTGTTTCAGTGTTTTAACGGGAGCTGTTTGAATTGTGTAGTTTGTCACCAGTGACTTCAGTTCAGTCCAGCTGTCTGTGTTTACTGTATATAGGTCAGCCAGCGCTAAGCCTACCTGCAGTGTGACTCACAGCAGTGTTACTCAGAGTGTTGACAGCATTAAAAGCAGGATATCTGTGCCACGTATAGATACAATCACATCCAAGCGTTCCAACACACTCACATCAAAATACTGTATTTGACAACTCAGCAGAGGTTATTTGAAGTTGTACAATTAAATGACTTCACAGCGTTTGTTTGCCAGATTTCTCACATTAAATCAGTAGTTCACAATTTCTTTTTTCGGGTCTCACTTCAAAAAGATACAAATGTCGTTTACACACATTATTTAACTCAAACACTCAAACGGCTTTATTAAAGTTTTGCATTTTTCTTATTAGTTTTTATTTCTGTTTAAAGTTTTTGTTTCCAGACAGTCTCCGGAGTGGGTTTAGTTTGTATTCTTTTCAGTGTAGGGTTTAGTCTTTAATTATTCTAATATGACAGGTGATTGTCATGGGCAACCTATTAGACATACAGAGTACAACAGAAAACAAAACAACACTTTATGAAAGCAGCTGACTCTCAGTCGTCTAGAGATCTCAAATCTCGGTAGACATTTGCATCTGGGCCTTGTTCGGCATGTGCTGATACATTTCAATCACATAGTAGCTCATGATCCAGTACAACTCCCAGGCAACCCTAATGTGAAGTACAGAAGGAAAGTTATGTTTTTCAAGTATTGCACAAACTAATGAGAATTAAAATCTACTGAGAAGTGAAGGAGTCCTGTAAACAGTCATATCTTGTTTCACTAAAATCTGACCAGTACTCTAGGAGGAGGAGTGGTTCTTGTGAAAATGGTGAAAAGCTCCTAGGAAACAACAAAAATACGATCTTGAGCATAATTTGGGTGAAGACTCATTAAGTGATTAAAAACAATCGGACTAAAAATCAGTCCTTGTGCCGGGTGGGCTGAAACTAAAAGTGAGAGCATTTCCACTACTTTTACTTTGTTGTTAGTAGGGGTGCAACGATATTTGTATCGATATTGAACCGTTCGATACAGTGCTTTCGGTTCGGTACGCATATGTATCGAACAATACAACATTTGTAATTTATTTTATCAATTTTCCTTCTGACGATGCTGTCTGTGTTGAGTGCTCAGTGAATCTGTGTTCGACTACTCCGCCTAGGCTGCACTGTCGAGCGCAGATCCACTGAGGGCTCAACACAGACAGCATAGTCAGAAGGAAGAGCGCAGGGCAAGCTAGCGAGACAGAAGTTAAGCTCTCCTTGCAACATGGACCTCCCCCACTCTCATTCAGATCTGGCGTTTGGAATTATTTTGGTTTTCACGTGACGTATGACCCTGAAGGTAAGCGCGTCATGGACTAAAGTAAAACAGTATGTTGGATGTGCCAACATTACATGGGTGGGAACTAGTGTGTTAGCGCAGTTAGCTCGTTAACGTGTTGGCCGTCTAGCCCCATGCACGGAGCGATCGGCGGTAGCTCGTTAACGGAGATTTGCCGTGTTGTGGCGTTAAGGTCATTTCAACGAGATTAACCTGAAAGCACTAGTGGGAACACAACGAATACGACTGCACATTTACGCCGACATCATCGTAGTGCAAAGACAAGTGGAAGCAGACAAAAAAAAGCAAGCATGCTACTAACTTTAGCCGAGTTATTTAGACAGCTGTTAGCACATGATTCTCCTTATGCTGCTGAGAATATAGCCCAGAAGAAGCGGATAGTATAGCTTTTATTTTGGAAAGAGACATTTCTCTGTAATAAACTCTCTTTTCCAAAGATGAGTGATTCCTCAATCAGATACAGGGCTCGCAATATCGCTAGCCCGACGTCCCGGGGCTAGCGATTTTTTCAGTCGGGCTACCAAAATCTATCTCTTCCCTGCCCGTCGGGCTATTGTAGGAAAAATATATGTCAATGCTTTTGCATTCTTTCAGAAATGTAGCTGGGTAATTATGTCATTGGCATCGGTGAGCCACTGTCAATATGTGACATATTGAAATCGCGTTTGAATTTGCGCTTGTTTTTTTGCTTTCACTTTGCAATCGTGCGAACTGTGTATAGAGAGCGACAGCACTGATCTGTGAGTGATGATAATTTGTGCACCAATTCCTCTGACATCGTCTTATTAATCGTTAGCTTACTATGCAAACATGACAAGTGAAATCTCCCGCAGCTTAAACATGTGAGAGGTTGATCGCGCAGAGAATCGCTGAGCTTATGTGAGTGCGTGTGTAAAAGCATTTCAGTTCTGCTGAGCCAAATAAGACACATCAGGGTGAAGAAGTGACAGCCAAAGAAAAGCTTACCACAAAACGGAGAAGTTATGACAAATCAGACTATAAGGCAAAAAGAAAGTGCAGCTTTATGGTTTCATGGACAAAATAATTTCTGTGGCTGCAATATGACGAGCTAAATAACCAGGGCTGCACATAAGTGGTCCGCAGGTGCGCATTCGCTGTCAAAATAAAAAACACGCACAAGGGTTAGGGTTAAATTTAAAAACTGTACTTTTGAGTTAAAATATATATTTATAATTTTAATAAATGACAAATTAAAAATGCATGAACATTTTTTTGTATCGAAAAAATATCGAACCGTGACACCAAAGTATCGAACCGAACCGAACCGTGAATTTTGTGTATCGTTGCACCCCTAGTTGTTAGTGCACAACACTGTTTGCTATTTTTACCAAAAAAAGTCAAGTTTTTATTTTAGTTAACAAAAAGCATTTTTTAAAGAAAACTATAATAAGGTCAACATAATGTTGGCAAAGTTGTTTATTTTCCCAAAAAGAAAAATATCCAACCTTTTCCCTTTTTTTCTGTCTTTTAACTTAATATTATCTCACAGCAGAGCTTCTCAGATTAGTACCGTGTCATGTGCCACTGCACACAACAAGCAGATGGAGACCAGATTAGCAAATAGATGTCCCTCACACACACACGCACGCACGCGCGTGCACACACACACACACACACACACACACACACACACACACACACACACACACACAGATTCTGGTTCAAGCTTCTGCTTGCACACCCGCTGATCATCAGGTGAGGTGATAAAGTGCACTTCACAGTGTCTACATGGTTTTTAATCTTCTGTTTGTACCGAGCTTACCAAACATTTAATTTCTCTTTCTTTCCCGTGGAAAGTGTGCAGTAATGTCTGTTTTCATAGCAGATTTAATTGATCACATGTCAGAAAATTACTTTTGTGAGTCTGAGGTGGTTTCTTTAAATTACATGGAGAATTACACACACACACAAAAAAGCAGCAAATCCATCCAAATCAGAGAATGTTTTACATTTCGTGCTAGAAATTTTTGACAGAGTTAATTATGAATCAACAAATCAATTAGCTACCTTATCCTAGATCTTGTATTGCGTACTATCAAAACAAAGGAACAGATCTTCCAGATGACTGAACAGAACATTTTGTTTTTTTGTGTTTAAATTAATTTTTTATGCATTTATTTTTGTTGACTGGCAACAAACTGTCTTTTTCTTCTTGCATTTTCAGACTTCCTGAACATTTCTGCTCAGTCAAACAAAAGTAACAGTGATGTGTGCTTTTCTTTTGTAACCACACAGATAATCCTCTCAGTACCCAATACTGTGTTTCTGCTCGTGGTGGGAGGGGACTCGCATTTCTGTTTCTCTAATCTCTGTGAAAATGCTGCTAACACTGACCGGCCTGTCACAAAGTGTGAAGACATCTTTACTGGTTAACTCTGCAGATGCAGCATATGAGCACCTCACAGTAGGGTCAGTGCCACCTGCTGTTGCTCAGCTACTTAGTTAGCATTAGCCACTGAGGGCAGTTAAGCTTACACAGCTTAGTTCAGTGACCCAGTATAGGAGCTACCTACGGGAAATGAAAGGAAGAGAAGGGATAAACAAGCATCAGACTTATACCTAAAAGGATGAACAGACCACTGCCCAACATGATCTCATACAACCTCAGTAGTCCCCGAGGAAAACAACTCTTTTTTTTTAAATGAGCAAATATAAATAGAAAAATTACCATTTTCTTGCTTTTAGTGTCTTGTGAGAGAAGCTTTTGATTGGTTTTAGTGTAGTTAGTGAATATTTTGTTTTTAATTAAAGACATTTCAATAAATCCCAGCCTGGCCTGAGTGTTTTTCTTACACTATAAAGGCAGTTGTGCATCAGAACTGCAAGAAAGACACAGGTAAGATCAGAAATAAATTATAATAAAAATAAAAATCTAAAAATAAACCCTCTAGTTAGCTAATCTGATCTACAAATCAGAATTTACAACCATCTTACTGTAATCTGTAAATGTAGGTAAACACAATCCTCTACACTGACCTGCTCTGAGAGATTACTGGAAGATGTGGGCAAAATCTTATGCAACCCAACCACCACCTCTGATGCTTTTAGGAGACATTTGCATGCATGAATCATACACTTAACGACTATATTAGTCAGTTTCTATTCATAACTGTTTGCCTTTGTGTTGCAGTTAACAAAATAATAGACTCACGTTCACCATTATGTATGAAAGTTTTTTATTTTTGATCAGAGGGTTTTTAAATTTAGCCATCTAAAGCAATCCAAGCTCGTCAAGCGCTTGTTAGTATTATATACTTTTGCTTGGTGAATAAGACGACTATAGTGGAAATCTGCAATAAGAAATGTAATCAGTCCCAACCATGTTTTCTTGTCTTTTCCCC